GTTGATCCAGTAATTATTTAGTTACATACGAACAAGCAGCGAATTTCTATTCAACTGTCAAAAAATAATTTTGAAGCAGATATTGTTAAATTTGTGAAAGAATTCATTGTACAAAAATTCAAATATTGTTTATATTTTGAAGATCCAATTTTCGAAAAATTCAGCGCAGTTATTCAAACATATTTTAAAAATTCTCAGATCAATCTAGTACGATGTACAAAAAAGTTGATAAGCGTCACAGACCAAAATGACATTGTTGAAGTAATTAAAAATTACCATGAAGGTACCATTTTGAGGCATTGATTTTCAGGCAATGTCTTTTGCAGTACTCTTCAATGTTAACTAGATCTAAGTTCAATTTATATGATGCTTCATGCATGTCTAAAGAATCAAAAGACAGAGTTAGCTGTGTGTCATCTGCATACGTTTGAGTATTACAGTGCTAAAGGCAAGTATGCAGATCAAAAGTATAAACTAAGTAGAGTAATGGTCCCAACACAGCCTTGACGTACGCCAGCTGCAACAATCTTCGCCGAAGAAAGTCCCTTACCTGTTTTCCCCTTCTGGGTACGATTGCGCAAATACGAATCGAAGAAACGCAGTGGCTTGTCAGAAAGACCTTAAAATTTGAGCTTACCCAAGAGAATACCATGATGTACCATATCAAAGGCCTTAGAGAAGTCTAGCAGAATCAGAGCAGTTCGTATCTGATCGTCTACATTTTTGATATCATCCGTAATGTTTAATAACGCGGTTGTTGTGCTATGCCCTGTACGGAAACCAGACTGATATTGAGGAATCATAGTGTTTTGTTCAAAATAGTGGGCCAGCTGAATGTAGACTATTTTCTCTAAAACCTTCGACAAAAAGCACAACATGCTGATGAGCCGTAGCTGAGAATACTCAGAGGGGCTGTTTGTCTTCGCCAAAGGCAAAACGATAGCTTCCTTCCAGCAGGATGGGAAAATTCCTGTCTCTAAGGAAACATTGATAATATGAGTAATGTGATTCAAGATTTCTGGTAAGCAGATATGTATCATTTTACGATTAAGTCCATCCCAACACGATGCTTCTGACTTTATAGAAGTTAAAACATCCAGCAATCCATGCTGGTCAACGTAGCGAAAAGTAAATGTAGGAACATTAGTGCAGATGGGTCATTCTCAACGGAAGACGAATACTCGTGTCTCTAATGGATAATTAAATTATATTTCAAACTAGCAAGCGTAGACAGCTAGAAAAGACTATAGTTAAGTAAATTGAACATTAGCAGGTTATCGTCACTTCACTCTTTATTTTTTTTCTCCTTTTTCTTACATTCACAAGGGGTGAGATCTCACCTCCGTGAACTGTCCCTTGAACCATATTTAAATATACTTTCGTCTGATATAGAAAAACTATCAACGATAAATCAATTCTACGGTCAGTACCGAATCACCGTATGACGTTGTAGTAGGACTATATCAAAAACATTATATTTATATCACCTGGAAGGTTACATTTTACGTCAAAGTATTGTCCCCGCATAGTTTTCTCACCTCCGTTAGTGATTATAGAAAACATAATAATTCCTTCAATTTCGGCACCACCTAGTGTGTGCATCTCAAACTATGAGTTAGCAGCCATTTTTTATCAAGTCTGCTTAAAACTACTGGTGACTGTTGTTATTATCTAGTGAATTTACAATTCGAAGGTAAGATAATCTGTTTGTTCAAGATGAGTTTTCACCTCCGTTTACACTTTTTTTTGTTAAAAGAAATTGATTTCTTTTAACTGTTATCTATAAATATTTACAATAAGTAACATAGATCTCCATGCGACAGGCGTTGTTTCCATAACCTCAAAATACTTTCTTATATGATTTGATACCTGATAATTTCTCACCTCCATGAACCTCACCTCCGTGACTATTTCTGCTCACGGAGGTGAGGTTTTAGTAACTGAGGTGATATTTGTGCTTTAATTTACAGAACTGTTCACTGCGATGGCTCCTGTAAAATCAAAGGTTAAAAGCGCCGATGGAAAACGGAAAATAGTGAGGGAAAGTATGAGGAAATTACGAGAAGCGATTAAAAGTGATCCAGTTAGATATGAAGAGGCAAAAAAGAAGGAAAGGGAAAGATACCATGCAAGAAAAGCTGCTGGTAAAATAAAAGGTGTTGCTGATATGAGCGAAAGGGAAAAAAGGACAATTCGAAGGAAATGGAAGGACAGAAGTAAAAGATGCTATGAAAGGAAGAAAACACAAGAAAAATTGAACAGATTTTTAGCTGAAGAAACTCCTCCATCATCTCCATGTCGACAACCAGTTCAAGAGATACCTGCAGAAATTGATAATCAAGATCGTACACCGTGTACTTCGAAACAATCTACTTCAAGTTCCAGAAGTAAGGTATCGTGCGGCGAAAAACTTCGAAGGAATAACAGGAGAAAGCTGAATATAACGATAAAAAAGCTCGAAATTAAATTACAGGAGGCGGAAAGAAGAGCAGGAAAATACAAGAAACAAGTACAGCGTTTGAAGAAAATTCAAAATAAGACAAGTCCCCATACGTATGTAGAGAGCCTAGTTTCTGGACTAAATGTTAGTCAAGTAGTCAAAAAAAATTACTTTTCAGTGAAGTTATGTCAGAACAATTAAAAGAAAATTATAAGAGCAAGAGAGGTTCTATACAAAAAAGGAAGTTCATTGATAATATCACGGGGCCTCTCATAAAAAAGTACAGATTCATGAAGTTCATTTCATCGCTATCATCTAACACTATATTGTATGGAAACAGAAAAAACAAGCAAATGGTGCATCAAAAAGTTTTGCAAGTTAACAGATCTGTAAGGGCATTTCTCCTGAAAGATGAGAATAGTAGGCTTTGTCCTGGAAAGAAAGATACGATAACTTTCAAAAAACACAAAATGCAAAAGAGATACCTAAATGACACCTTGAAAAACCTTTACGTTAAATTTAGAAGCGCTCATCCGGAGATGATGATTTCATACACTACATTTTGTAGAATGCGTCCATTTTGGGTACTGCAGCCTAAAGTATCAGCAAGAAATACATGTTTGTGCTTGTTACATACAAATATGAATCTTATTGTTTCTAAATTATATTACTTGAAAATTATCAACGAAAAATCACCAGAGGATCTTGTAAAATCACTTACCTGCCATAACGGTTATCTGCTCGAGCAATGTCTTGAGAGAACATGTCCAAAATGCAAACACAAGGAAATAAAAGTTTTAGATTATGATACAGATGATGAAACGTTTTACGAAAAGTGGTTAACAAAAAAGCACGTACTGATAATAAAAGGGAAGGAAAAGACATGTAAAAAAACAGTTAAGGATAAAATACTTTGCAAAAAATCTGATATCGTACGTATTCTAAAACAAGGATTTAATGGATTCTTGCTTCATTTAAGAAATATATTTCATCAATATAGATCCATAGATAAATTAAAACAACAACTGTCAACTGACGAAATCTTAATACATGCTGATTTCTCCGAGAACTATAACTGCAAATATAATGAAGAGGTACAATCAGCACATTTTGGAGGTTCCAAAGCACAGATAACGCTACATACTGTAGTTATATACTACAAGGATTCCGTAACGTCTAATACTGTGCCGCTTTCTATTTGTACCCTATCAGACAGCTTACGACATGACCCTCAATCAGTTTGCGCTCACTTACAGTTGGCTATCACCGAGATTCAAAAAATTATTACAAGGATAAAGAATGTGCATCTCTTATCAGATGGTCCATCCACCCAGTACAAAAATAAAAAAATGTTTTTTTTGATGACGCACTTTCTAGCAAGACACTTAGCTGTGAATCATCTGTATTGGCATTATAGTGAAACTGGTCATGGCAAAGGTGCACCTGATGGGGTGGGTGCTGTTATCAAACGAGAAGCTGATCGTTTAGTTGCTGTGGGAAGAGACATTCCTAATCTTCAAAGTTTGGTAGAAATGCTGAGTAATTCGACAAAAGTGATAGTCCTTAGTTTGAATTCGAAGCACATCGAAGAGATAGATAATGTTGTTCCAGATGATCTGCCAGTCTTCCGAGGAACAATGAAAGTACATGAAGTATGCTGGACTATAAATGCTCCAGACATTTTACAAATGAGACGGCTTTCATGTATCACTTGTAGTGCAGATGAAGAGTGCAAGCATTATGGTTTGGGCAAAATACAATTTCCAGCAACTGCAGGTAAAAAGTAGACATCTGTTCAACTGCTTCAATATTATTACCCTTTGTTTTCCAGATTTCCACATGAGCAACTGTGACCGATTACACTATGAAGATGTTTATTCACCTTCTGGCAGTGATAGTTCCGACGACATCCCACTTTCAGTTTTGAAAGACAAAATTTCCACAACATTCAATGAAGGCATGTATGTTCTCGTAAAACTAACTGGAAAGAAGATTATCCGACACTACGTTGCTGTTGTTCTTCGCGTTGATGGAAGCGGTGAATATAACGTCAAATTCATGAAGGCAACTGGAAGGAAAATATCTGGAAAGAAAACATTTGTATTTCCAGAACGAGATGACATTGTTGATATAGATATATCAGATATACAAGTTGCATTGGTTTGCCCGGAGCTCAATGAGAAAACCAATGAATACATTTTTTTGGATAGCCTTGATTACCCTAATCTGTATTAATACCTAATAATTGTAATCATTGCTTTTATTTCCTTAGGTGTGCTCATCACGTTTATTTTTTGATTTTATGTTTTATGGAGTACAAAATTCATTTCTAAATAAATATACTTACTTTTTTGCTGCTATATATATATATATATAATCATTAATCATTAATTGTTACCTTCTTCAGTGATATCTCACCTCAGTGAAAATCAGATATCACCTCCGTTTTTAATCTCTCACCACCGTGAACACATGTTTCAAATTTCTCTCAATTTTGAAAGAAAATAAGTTCAATGATCTCGGAAATATAGTTTTTCAAGTAATGACTGACACTACAAATATAAAAATATTAAAATCATAATCTTCTACTCAAGTATATTTTTAATTAAACTGCTAGTGGAATAGTATGGATTTTGTGATAATGACCCAGATGGAGCTATTATCATATTTATGAATTGTAGACTCAATTAGCCTCGAGTTCAAATTAGCAGCCTGTGAGTTCAAAGTTTCTCTGGTTACATGTACCTTATGCAATAATCCAGATTCTGTTCTTGACGAACCTTGAAATAAAGAATGAAATTGATATTATATATATGTTAACAATCCATTACAACTGTATTTTTACAAGACAATAAATTCAATAAAATATTCCGTGATTGATAGTCAAAGTTGAACAAACTTCGTTTAAAGTTTATATTATGCTGATGTGATCTGAAATTAAAATTATTATTATTAGTAGGTATTATTATGTATAGAAATCAACTTTCTTTTCAAACTTTCACAATTTTGAAGAACTTCTATTAAGATTTGCTTTTTTTGGAAAACAGTGTTTCCCTTGGTATAATAGGCTAAGAGATTCATGCAAAATTACTTTACTCACTTGCTTCTGAATAATGTTCCTCAATGGGTTCTACTGCAGTTACATCAAGATTTTCTGGTTGTGAAGTGGTAACTGAGCAAACTTCTCCCAACTGTTGTGATGATGCTGAAGTTGATGGTTTTCCTGTAACCACACAATTTACACTATCAAAAAAAATTACATGATCAATTTTATAATTTTTCATACAGTTACTGTGCTATCATCAATAAACTGTTTTGGAGCCCATTCCGGGAATGATTGAAACAACTACCAATGAGATGTTTGCAGTTAAGATAATGTTATCTCTAATTTCCCTGTATAAATATTCACCTTACAACATTCCCCGTGTTAACTGGAGCTCAGTCCAACTTATTCCAAATATAAATGATTCTCATCAAAGAGTTGAAATGAGTTTTAAATGGGAATTATTAACTATATACTTCGTTTATTGAAGAAAGACACCAAACCCAACAATGTTCACAGATATTTTATGTGACTTGCTACATGTACTGTGTTGTCTGCCAATGCCAAACCAGGAGGGTGGAGCAGGAGACAACACGAAGGTGCATGTAGCCTCACCAGTCATGTAAAATATGCATGTATATGTTTGGATTTACTCTTCCTTTGATAAACAGACTATAGTTATGTAGTATCAATCACTTGTACTAAACACTGTTGAAAGTCACTACTTATAACAGTTTCCAGAAAGCTGAATATATGTAATTGAAGTTGAGATATGTAAAATTGGGTGATACTAAAAATAAAACAAACCAACATACCAAGAATTTCATCAGTCGTGTTGGATATTTGTTGATCAGGAAGATTTAGTGATGGCACAGCATCCATCCTAAGTCTGTTGTTACCATAATTGTCTTCCTCTGTGAAGTGTGTATGACACACTCTATATCCATTATAAACAGTTATGGGGTCTAGATCGCTCACTGCTTCATTACCAATACAATCCACCCATTGCACAAAAGCATACATAAATTTCGTCGGATTTGGAAATCTATGCCATACTAAAACACTGCCCTGACAGCCTCTAACTGCGCATTTGCGGTACCCAGACATGGTTTCTGAAAAACAACATTCAGTAACAAAAATATGTTCAAGTTAAATGACTCAAGGAAATAGAAATGTCGCTAAGCTCTAAGAAGACATGACAACATAAACAAAATCAAATTTAACTTTTGCAGTTGTAATAATGTAGCAATACTGTAGTGATACAATATTAAAATTGATGATTTTAGCAACATATTTTGATAAGCAGGGCCGTTGAGAAATAAGCTCGGGCTCCTATGCCGGAAAATTCTCGAGCCCCCATGCCGAAATATTCTCGGGCAGTTTTCTTGACATGAGCAAACCTAAGGACGTCTATCCTTCAGTTCAGTAAGCGAGCCTCGGGCTACCCTCAGCGCCGAACCCCCCTTGCTGAGCCACGAGCTCCTCTCTTGTCGACGGCCCTGAAGTTTTGTACCCATCATCTTAGCCTATAAAACTAGATTATAGCACTATACTTACATGCTGCAATAAACAAGCGCTGTAATCACTCAAATTCAACCACACATAAACAAAAAATAAAAGTATTAAACGGTCCAAACACAAAGAAGAAAGGAAGCATCCACAACGGTAATCCGTATTCACAAGATACACAATAACTCAGCAAAGAAAGAACCAACTGGTTTATCATCACTGGGTTTATCTCTGGGAGAGGAGAGGAACCTGAGAGGAACACAAGCCACGCCAGGTCACTGACAGCTGTCATGATAACGGATTGTTAAATGTAAACCTATAACATATATCTAAATTCTTAAAAGTTGTCCTGTATTTTCTATACAAAAGCATCATGTTGGAATCAAAAAGTGGTCTTGTTTATAATACAGTCGAATTTTCACGATTTTATTCAATATTTCAATAGAAGTCAGTAATATTCAGAGACCTTTGACAGCTTCTGTCAAATTGCATTTCGAAAAGGTATTTGCCCATTGGTCCATAATATTAATGTTGGTGAAATTGGGCCTCAATGTCACAGAATGATAAATTTGGTGTCATTTGAACGATAACAGGTTACCCTGGTGATTATTGAAAAACTAGTATTGATACTAATCGTCAAACATACCTATAACCGACAAAAACAGAAAAAAAAATATGTAAGAAAATTGATTATTTTGTGCATTTCCGCACACCATTCAAAAACTAGTAGGTGAAGTTGTACTTTTTTGTGCCAATTCTACAGCTAACTATGTTGTCTACAGAGTGACACCAAATCTGTTATCCTAATTCTTCTACGTTAAGTAATAGATGCTATCTTACATTGGTCAAAATGGGTGTAATGAAATGCAAATTGCTTTCAAACTTTTTATACATAAAAATGACAAATCAATGTTTCTCATGAAGAGTTTGGACATGTTCAATGTTACAGAAGCTATTCAAAATGTCGTCCATTATTGGTTGTGCACATTGTTGCTCTTAAAACCATGCGTCGTGTTGAGCGGCGGACTATATCCGAGTCAGCTCCAATTCCGTTCGCAGCGGTATGGATCCTTTCCACGAGCTCTTCCCATGTCGCCGACATATGACAGTAAACTTTTTGCTTCATTATGCCCAGAAAAATTATCTAGGGGCATTAAATCGGGTGATCGGGTGGCCAAGCGACAGTGCGTCCACGACATGTCCATGCCCATTCAAATGTTCTCGTACAATCCGCGCAAAATGTGCGGGAGCTCCGTCAAGCTGCAAACTCATGTTGCGGCGGTTGGTAAGTGACAGATCATGGAGTAGATCTGCAAACTCGGTCTTCAAGAACTCCAAAAATCCCTGGGCATCTAACCTTGGAGATAGCTCAAGTGGGGCGACTGAGACTCCGTTTCCTGTTGGAAAGTGCTCGGTCGAACTGTATTCCGAAGACCTTAAGTGGTCATTTTTATGGTTTATGATCCTCTGCCTCGTAAATTTTGCTTCGTCCGTCCACAGAATTTTTTGCCAAAAGTTGCAGTCTTGACGCAGCTGCCTTTGAAAACAGGTGCAAACTATGATTCTTGCTGCATAATCTGGCTCATGAAGATCCTGAACTCTTCTAAGATGATAGGGGTGTAAACCTTCTCTCTTAAGGACTCTCCAAGCCGACCGATGTGACAAGTGTAGTCTTGCAGCGATCCTCCTCACACTAACTCTCGGATCTCGGGTCATCATGTTGAGAATCTCTTCTTCATCTTATGGAGACAGTAGCCGATAACGGTGGTTTTGCTGGCCTTTGAATCCCATTTTCCGCCAGTTTCAGGTATGTAAAGACAAAAGTCCTAACATTTTGCGTAATTCGGTCTGGAAATCGTCTTCGATATTCTCTCACAGCAACTGCGGCATTTCCATAAACAAACACCATACCAGCCGCATGGTTATTTGAAAATTTATTACGTGGACGATTTGGCATGGTAGACACTTAGGCATGACTAATGAAATGTTCAGTCACAAATCACTTCCAACTCAAATACGTTCAGAAAATTGATATTGAAACTAGTCAGCAATGGTAACAAAATGGCCGTATGATCACAACGTGTGGCGAGATACTACAAAACACTCACTATGACATTGACAACGGTTGTCACCATCTGGATAACGAGACCTTTCGGTAGATGTTGTCTCACTCACACACTCAATACATTCATCTCTATGTCAGGAATGTTGGATTCGGTCCGCTACCTAAATCGGAGAGGCTTGCCAAGCGTCATGTTTAAGCAAGCAATATGTGTACTTAAAATAACCAACATAGGGTAACAAATTTGGAGGCATTTTGTATATAGCATAGTTATCTGTAGAATTAGCACAAAAAAAGTACAGCTTCACGGACTAGTTTGAATGGTGTGCGGAAATGCACAAAATAATCAATTTTCTTGCATGTGTTTTTCTGTTTTTGTCTTTTTGTAAGAAAGTTTGACACTTAGTATCAATACAAGTGTTTTAACAATCGCTAGGACAACACGTTATCGTTCAATTTACACCAAATTTATCATTCTGTGACACATAAATATGTACTCAGTTATTACATTTTTTTTACATGCACTAGCGTAATCGTAACGTAAAAGTAAAAATGGCTGCCATTTCAAGGGTGGTGAGGTAAGACATTGTAGGGGAATCGATCTGTCGATAGAGATAGCTGAAAAATACCGCCCTTAAATATCGGTATGTCGTGACCAAACACATTGTATATATAAATATTAACTTTTTGGATTTCTAATGATGATGTTATAGTGTGCTTGTTCAATTTTACTCTGTTTGTTAATTTGTTCGGATGTGTTTGTTCTACAGTTTTGTATTTATTTTGAATTTTGTTTTTTTTTACAGTTTTCGGTTAATGTCGTTCTTTCGAACAAACGTTAATCTTTTGTGAATTTACACTTTTGCATTTTAAATTTTACTTTGACCTGTGTAAGCACGCAAGTGTATTTAGCACCAATAAAGGAATGAATATAGTGCTAGCAGAAAAAGAAGTACATTTTCTACTGTATTCATAATTCCTAGAATTCTTTTACATTTATAAATTTAATTTAGGTATCTGAAAAGAGCAAAACATTTCACAGGTTAGTATTATGGCGGTATAAATCTTTGTCGGGCGAATATAAACTAAAAAGTATCACTCCAGAGAGTGGTATCTGTCCAATGCTAAATTAATTGCATATATCATCACCAACCACTGACATCCAAGCCACTGGCCCAACAAAATATAATAATAATAAATAAAATAATAAAATGAAAATTACATTCATTTCCAACAAGATGATGCACCGCCGCACTAGTTTGTATGTAGTTTTTGGACACCCATTTCCCGAATCAGTGGACCGGCAGACGAGCCCCATCGAGTAGCCACCGAGATCTCCGGACCTAAGTCGTTTAGATTACTTTCTTTGAGGGCATTTGAAAATTCAAGTTTTTAGTACGAAGCCAGATTCCATTCAAGAACTTTCTTAGCAGATTGCGGCTGAATGTAGATAAATAACTCAAGACATACTTGAAAATGTGAGGAATAGATTCGAACAAAATCTTTGTTATTGCATGGAGGTAAATGGACACCACTTCATAGCTAATTAATTTTTACTTTAACTTTGATGTGCGTGTAAACTGTGGGTTGTTTTTTGTTTTTTAATACTCGGAGACTTGTTTTTAATTTTAAACTAAAGTCTTGATACTATGGGAACTATATTAATTATTATTTTTACGATATAATCCCTTATTATCATAATTTCTAGAATTTTATTATAAACTCAAAGAGCTTCACAACAATTGAAGATAGGTATAAACCTTATTACACAAAAGTTACTAAAAATAAAAAAAATGGGGGTTCCCATTTAAAAATGTAACGCATATTTTTGGATCACCCTGTATTGTACGGCTGTAGATGAAGAGACGTCTCCCTGTAAATCAAAGTTGGCTTGTCTGAGCGTTTTTCCCAAAAGGTACCAGGATAGTCACAAATAGGGGTGTGACCTTTTGCTTGGGCCACCCTGTATATGTATGTATATTGGTCCTATCACTAAGGCAAAATGGCAGCTTAATCTATTCACTAGTTTATTGTAAGACATTTTATCTATTTGATAACACATTACGGTATTTTTCAACGCTTTCATTGTATCCGACACTCGTGGATCGCTCTTTTGATGGTAGGTAGATAGGTCCCACGCAGAATCAGTTCATTGGGTACGGTGCCTCAAAGATCATACCTTGGACCTTGTTCTGGAACAGTTGAATGATAACGATATTGTTGTTGCTTCCTGTGCCCGATAACTTAACGTCATACATCCAAATTGGTTTCAGCAAAGCATTTTAGAGTACGAGTAGAAGCGAGTTCTGTTATCCATTAACGGTTTAGATTTCCTACGGAGATGATGAGGTTGAAAGGAGAGGAGCTACACCTTTTAACACTCTTTGCACCTGCTTCTACACCCTGTTCCTTTGCGGGTATACTCACCCCAGCGGAGGAGGCATAAGTAAATACTGACAAAGGAGGTTGGCTTGGTGTCGGAAGGGACTTTGCAACCATGCACGGTCTCCTATGGTAATTAGTGGAAGCTGAGGAGCTCATCGTGCTTTATCGGATTACATCCCTACTAAGCACTGGTCCGCCTTTCGAGGATAAATGAAAATTAGTATCTAATTATGGAGAATGACGTCAGACAGGCTGCCGTTACACCACCGTCATCAATAGTAACGCAAGGGTTATTGTCATTGGATGTCTTCGTAACCTCGAAGATTAATAATTACTGACATCCAAGCCACACGGTCAACGAAAAAAATCACATTCTATAAATCATCACATCTCAAATACTTATCGTCTGACATTCGCCTCACAAAATCCGAGATTCAGAGGCAGTTCGAAGAGATCAGATGGTGCCCAGGGAGAGGAGTACGAAGTCTGCCTGCATTATACCCATGGTTGCTCAATATACTGACTTGCAGTAGATCTCATCATCTTGTCTCATGGATATATAAGGAGTTCTACTCTGAGAGGACCCAACGATTTTCAGGGGAATTTCTAGATTTTCTGAGAAACCTTCTTAGTATAAGTTCCAACGACACTTGACCCTACAACGTCGCGGATTTGGATAAAAATTTTATTGGAGTGAGAACGGTAATTGAGGA